GCACCAGAACGAATACAGAGGTCCGTAATCGTAAGAGCACTCGCATAGATGTAATGATAGGTGGAGGTTTGGCTTTATTTTTTCTTCGCCATAGCATTCTTTGATCAATTTAATTATCTTTATCAAAAGTTTATGGGCTTCTTTCATATCGTTAATCTCCACAATTCGTCTAACCAAAATCGTACAAACTCTTACGAAATACGTAAGAATTTTGCGATCTTTACCCGGAAGATGATTCCATAAAGCAACAGTGGCATATATTAGGAAAAAGTTGCGCCATTGGTCAGCGGTAAAGTTAGAAAACCCTTCACCACAATGGATTTTACCAGGAATTCGTCCCAAATCTGATGGTACTTTAAATTCGTTTATTTTCTTTTGAATTGATTGAAGATCTTTTTCTGTTAATACACCTTCGTCAATCCATATTCGTTTTGTTATCCATTTAGTGATTCCTAGAAAAAGGCAATGCATCGGATCTACAACAACAAAACGAATCGGATCAAAATACGGCAGTCTTAATATTTCAGACCACCTTACGCCATTTTCCTTGACGAATCTCTCTCTTTCTGCGTTAGATTTGCATCGTCGCCATTCTAAAGCCTTTTGACGATGCTCGACTGGATCTTTCATGATAAACCAGTTGCTCATATCCGCCATACCACCAAAATTGCGATTATTGGCCCTTTTTTCGCATCGATGGCATGATGCAAGGGCAGAGATGTGCCCGCATAATTTTCGAGCTCCAGGAATATCGCACGAAGCAATTATTAATGCAGCTCGAATATCTTTGCCATTTGGACATTCATAAGTGCGATTAAGAATCACACCTTCCCAAAGTGATTCTAATTCCATGATTATTGGTGAAAGGTAATGATTTACTCTATGTAATTTAACCTCATTGGGCCCTGGTAATATGCCGAGTATAAGCATATTTTTAGGCTTAAATCGAACATCCCAAAGTAGATTACATATTATTGCGTATATTACACCTGTACTGTAAATCGTTCCTTCGTACGGCTGGAACCAATCCAAATTTATCATTAATCCTAGATGAGTATCAGTCTTGTCCGGTCGGAAAAAGTTATTTGACCCTTGTTCGTTTGATTCCTTAAGATTTTGCCAAATTTGCCCGTCGTATATGTCTGATAAAACATTATCAATTACTGAACTACGAGTCCAATGCCGCAATAATTCTTCAAATCCTGGTCGCTTGAACATACTAGAAAGCTGCTGTTGTATACTCGAGACCGGATAAATTAATTCAGGAACAATTGATATACTATTATTTAAAGAAATTTTTTTTCCTAAAGGAGTTTGACATTGCTTTAATCTCTTTGTGGCCGAATTTGGAAATTCGACATGGCTGCATTTCATAATAGTATTATCATCATTTGATATTATATCCTTTTTTTTGTATAATTTGTGGCATTTTTGGCAAGCTGCAAATTGCGTAAATCGATCGATAAGTCCTAACGCTTTTCTTAACATATATAATGAATTTGGAAATGATTCGGGATTGATATTTTTACACACTTTCAATATTATTTTAATAAATTGTATTAATTCTTCAATTGCGGTATTTGGTATATTATGACTCGACCTGAACTTCATAATCCAAATCAAAATCCCCTTAATTAGTTCATCTGTTGGTAATTCTGAAATATTCGGTGTGTCTGAAATATCTGGTATGTCGAACATAGGATGAGAATAATTCTCAAAATTACTTGAAAATTCGTTATCATCATTATTAGGAGAATCTTCTTGTGCCGAAGATTCACTAGTGTAGATATCATCCGTGTCATATTCAGTTGATTCACACTGGTCAAAATCTATGCTATCGGGTATATATCGGGCACCTATATATCGGTGACTAATCAGATATATATCGGGTATTTACATATATCGGGTACATATCGGGTACCCAATATGTCACCGATATATACTGGTATATTTCGGGCACCTATATAATCAGATATATATATATTTCTAATATATATCGGGTACTAATATTTGTATGATACATTTTGATATATCGATATCGATATTCTATTAGTAGAATTTGATAATCTAAATTTGATTAACCGTCATACCGGTCGATCAATCTATTTTTAATAAAAAAAAATTTCATATTCCTTTTATATCCTTACCTCTATTTTTTTAAGTTGCCAGACTCTTTGAACGAACCTGGGCTTTGGAATGTAAGTTGGAAAGATGCGGATTATTTTAATATTAAAGAAACGTTACTAATGTTTCTTTCTCTTGTTTTTTTTAGGTTCTGGACTCCTTGGACTATCTCAAACTTTAGAATGTAAGTTGGAAAGGTGATTATTTTAATATTAAAGAAACGTTACTAACGTTTCTTTCTCTTGTTTTTTTAGGTTGCCGGACTCCTTGGAGTGAGCGAGAGCTCTGAACGGGTCAGGTCAGGTCGGGTAACCTATTCTGACCTGACCTGACCCGTCTGACCTGAAAATATTCAGGTTAATTTAGGTCACTTTGGGTAATCAGGTAACCTGAAATTTTTACATGAAAAAAAACTCCAATAGTATGTTATTTATGTATACAATTTATAAAATTATTTATATTTATTTTAAATACATTTTATTTTTGAATACATTTATTATTTTACATTAATTTGTTGTTAATGGTTTGGAACAATGTTCCAGTTGGTTCGATTCCAATAAACAACTATTAAAACTTAATAGAGAAAAAAAAAGAAACGTTAAAACGTTTCTCAAAGTCAATTTCAAACGCCACCCTTAAAGAAATGTTTGCCCATTCAAAGTGTCATTCCAGCAAGCTAAACCCTACAAGGATCAAAAAAAAGAAACATTAGTATGTTTCCATCTTTAATATCAAAAGAATTCCCTTCTCCCGGTACCTTTGCTGCATAAGTTCAGATTCGTAAGAGTCCGGCGTCCTACAAGAGAAAAAGGAAAGAAGCATTAAAAATGTTTCATAATTACAAAACACCACTCTCCCCTTCCCTTATTCCTTACATTCAAAGTCCGGGTTCGATTTGTTTCCAAGAGTCCGGTGTCCTAATCCTACAAAAAAAATAAAGAAAGAAACGTTAGTACGTTTCTTTAATATTAAAGAAAAAATTCCCCATTCCCTATTCCTTACATTATCCAAGTCCGGGTTCGTTTTCAAGAATCTGGCGTCCTAGTCCTACAAAAAAAAATAAAGAAAGAAACGTTAGTACGTTTTTTTAATATTAAAGAAAAAATTCCCATTCCCTATTCCTTACATTATCCAAATCCGGGTTTATTTTCAAGAGTCCGGCATCCTAGTTTTACAAAAAAAAGAAAGAAACGTTAAAAATGTTTCTTAATTACAAAACAGTAACCCTGGCCTCCTTCTCTCACATTACCTTTATTGTGTAGGTACAGTTCGTCCTGGTCTCTAAGGGTCCGACGTTCTACAAAAAATAAGAGTCCGACCTACNCTTCTAATCTATATGTATTATTCTAGTATGCATTATATTATGTATCAATTGCAATTTAGCAATATCATTCAGTTAATAATATTAATATAATTATCGCGTTTCAGTTTGTAGAAAGATCAATCAAGTGATTTAGTTGTACAAATCACATTCCCACCTTGTTATGGTTGTGTCACCAGGGGCGCTATGTCAACGGAAATTTAGTACGTTGATCGCTTAAAAATCTGCGGCAATCCAATTATAACAAGAGGAATTTACATTAGATAATGTATTTGAATTGATACGTATTTTATCATAAATAAATTTACATATTTTATATAATATATATATTAATAATATACAATAAAATCATTGCTTTACGCATTTTTAATATCAATATACGCGTTTTTATACATTGTATACACGTTTTTAAACTATCGTTGTTTTACTGTATGTTGTTTTACATTTAAATTGGTGTTGTTTTACGCGTTTTTCAACGTTTTTAGGTGGCGTTGATTGACAAAGGGTTCGTTTCCCTACATTTTTTGGCGTTGAGCAACACATGGCATTTTTCAACACTTTATACGCCTGTTTAAAACTTGCTGATGTTCCTACTGATACTTTAATACAAGAATGGGCTATTTACTGTGGACTTAATGAATCTATTGAAGAGTTTGATGATTTGGATTTGTATTGGCGAGGTAAAAGACATATATTACCAGAACTTAGTTCACTGGCTTTAATATATATATGGTTGCCAGTATCTGGTGTAGATATTGAACGTAGTTTTTCTAGTTATAAAAGCATTTTATCAGATAGAAGAGTAGCGCTTAAAGAAGAAAATATTCAAATGCTTAATTTTCTTTATTTTAATCTTAGTAATAATGATGATTATAATAATGAATTGATGATTTATGAATAATATAAATGTATAAATTTATTACTTAATTGTAAATAAATAAATAAAATTTGTATAGAATATCAAATTATTAAAAAGTTTTTTATAATCGGAATTATGTTAATTCTGGCCAGAATTATGGTAATTCTGGCTGAAATTATGGATCACGATTTTCACGATTTTTGTGATTTTTCACGCCTGATTTTTGGGCCATCACGACGTCAAATCCTGGACACCCTAGACTTGAACCCAGAAACGTATCGAAACACTAATGCAGAGCTATGTACAAACATGTGATCAAACAGAAAATGGCTAGTGTTAGGCTATTGGCCTATACATTATCATTGGAAATGGGTTTATATTATTATTTTGATAATTTATATCTCAATAATTGGAAAAGTTATAAAAAAAAGATTTATTTAAATTACAAACTAAGAAACTTGTAAAATATTTACCACTCTAGTCTTAGTGTTTAAATAATTATAAGTAGAAAAAAAAAGGAATTATTTAAATTACAAACTAAGAATTTTGTAAAATATTTTACTAGACTCTAGTCTTAGCATTTAAATAAATTTAAAAAGAATAAAATAAAGAACAATTTCTTTTAAATGTATAATATCAAATATCGCTTAAAAAAAAATATATAATTTTTTTTTAAAAACAAACAATGACTACTAGTTAATTTTCATCTGTTTTAATATCTAAATTAAATATTAAATAAAATTAATTTCACATAAATAATTTGCAAGATTAATTTTTTATATATCATAATACATACCTAATGACCCCAAATCCTTAATTATATAATCATTCAAATTTTCACTTACTAGTATTTCATTTGCTTCTACATTAGCTTGTGAATCTTCACTTTCAATAATTTCATTCAATTTTTTACTAGTAAAATTAAGTAAGCGACTTGTATAACATGCTTTAGGATGAGGTTGAGTAACAAGATTGTTATACTGCCTAATTGGTGCATTTATAAATTCCATAATGTTGCTTTTTAATTCATCATTGACTTCATTAGAACGGAAAATCCATTTATTAATAATTTCTAATACTTCTTTAGAAGATGGTCTTTTTAATGGATCTTCATTCCAACATCTTTTCATTAAATCTACATAACATTGTGGAGCATTTTCAATAATTTCAGGACGTTCACCATCTTTACAAATACTTAAACTTAGTTGAATGTCATGTGCTCTATTATTAAATGGTGGTACTCCAGATGTAAGTTCCCACATAATCATAGAAAAACTATATATATCACTAGCTGGAGTATAAGATTTACCTCTTAAAACTTCAGGAGCCATAAATGGTATAACACCATAAATATCATACTTTTCCAAAACCGATTTTACAGGTTGACATAATCCTAAATCACTAATATAAAGTACACTCTCATTATGATTTAAAATATTACCATCATGAAAATCACAATGAATAAGATTTTTTTCATGTATCTTACTAAGTCCAGCAATAATTCTGTACAACATATATAATTTTTGATTCCAATTATTTTTGACTATTCTTGTTAAATTTTCTCTTAAATTACCATTATTTGCATAAGCCATTACTACTATATATTTTGAAATCTTTGGATCTTTTGTAAATCCATAAAAATTTACAATTTCATATGATGAATTTAAACAATTCTTATGATAGTCCCACTACAAAAATTAATAATAATTTATTAATATAAATTATAAAAATAAAAAATAATATACTATCAATCTATCATACTTCTTTCAAAAATTCATTTAAATTTTCATTTAAATTCTTGTGACATTTAAGAATTACTTCTTCTTCACCTCCATAATTCTTTAACCAAATAGCTTTGTATATAGTACCAAATCCTCCTTCATTAAGATATTCAACATTTTTAAATTTGTTATAAGGAATCCATCTTAATTTTTTTTCAAGAATAAAATCATCTATAATTGTGTTTCCACTTCCCCCAAATCTATAAATTTAAATAATTAAAATTATATTATAGATTGTATTATAATTTACACTAAAATAAATTATTACTTACTCTAAAATTTAAATAGGAATTTAATGTAATATAAGTCTTAGTTTTTGGATAAATACATAATAACCTATAATTTACAACTTACCAACTAAAGTAACAGAATTTTTTAAATAAAAGAATTCAATTAACAAATAAATATTATATAAATATATAACAATAGAGATACTTACAAGCTAGATCTTAATAATTTTTTAAAGATAGTTTAAATTATATGTAAATATTATAACAATAAGTAATAATAGGATTAAATAAATAACTTACCATCTACGAAATAATTTTTTAAATAAAGAAATTAGATAGTTTAAATTATATGTAAATATTATAACAATAAGTAATAATAGAATTAAATAAATAACTTACACGCTATATTATTTAATAATTTTTTAAATAAAGAGATTAGATACTAGTTTAAATTATATATAAATATTATAACAATAAGTAATAATAGAATTAAATAAATAACTTACCATCTACAAAATAATTTTTTAAATAAAGAAATTATATAGTTTAAATTATATATAAATATTATAACAATAAGTAATGATATAATTAAATAAATAAATTACTATGATGGCTTACCAACTAAAATAAATTACAAAATAATTTTTTAAATAAAGAAATTAGTTAGTTTAAATTATATAAATAATACAAATATAGATATCATATAACTTACACCCTGTAGTATTATTAATTATTAATTAGTTAAATATAAAGATAATATAAAAGTATTTACTGTAAATTATATATACTACTTACAATCTAGTTTTTTAAATTAAGAATGTAATTAGTTGAATTATGTAAGATATTAAACATGAATTGTTTATAAATAAAAAAATATTTCAGCTACCTTCAATACATTGGTCCATTACTATATCAAAATTCTCAAATTCTCCTCAACTGAAAAAGATAAAGTAAATATTTTTATTTCTTTTCTTATTTTTTTTATTATTGAGCGCCTTTATTAGTATGAATAAATATGGTAATAATATTTATGTAAAATACATTATGTGCAAAAGCGTTGATCACAACTCACAAGCATTGCATCATTGCATATATGACAAACAAACTGGAATGTAGATCAATTATTAAAAAATCGCAGTAACTGATTAATCATTTCATCTTAGTAATTATTAAGCACCGATGAAATGATTATCATTCATTTTTACTTTATCACAATTTTGTTGATCATTTGTCAATCATTTATTTAATTTTATCACTTCCTTTACTTGAAAATATGAGCGATGTTGAATTGATATGGATATGATATAAATTTCATGTCATAATGGTATCAATTCCATAATTTATCGCGAAAATATCATGATGATATTTATTCAAAAGAATATCAAATCGGCACAGCCTTAATAATCATTACGATGTTGGAAATTTCAAAAAAAGGATGATATATTTGCAAGATATCATCACTTCATCCCACAATTTATCGCTGAGATATTGTGACAACATTTAATTAAAAAAAATATCTGATCAGTATAGTCTTGATATCGTTACGATATTGGTAATTTCAGGGATAAAAAAAGATGTATTTACGATATTGATTTGATATTGTCACTTCATTGCCGCAACTCATTTGTGGTATCACAACTCATCTGCTATACCGCTTTTTTTTTTACAACTTTTATATGTATAACGTACTGCCATATTATTAAAATAAAATTCTGATATTTTTATACGGTTAAGCAAGATTACATAAAAATATACTAATATGAGACTTTGACTACTTCCATATGTCACCGCCACAGAGATTGTTGAGATTGCAGTTGCAAAGGCTTCCAAATTTTAATAATTCTTTTTACAAATTTCTTGTTCTTGTATGGGTTTATTACAATATTGAGAAGACATTGTTTGATGATGATTCTACAGGTTAAAATGTGAGTCAAAAAATTTTTTTTTCTTCTCATTTTTTTTTATTATTATTTAAATTAATTCTTTCATTCCTTATTTTTGCATTGATCTTACCACATCATGATCGAGTATGATTAATATGATGGTCAATTTCGAAAGAAAAAAAATATTTTTTTTGATATACTTTGATGTATTTTCCATATAATTTTAGATATTGAGAATTTGGTAAGAGAAAAGTTTTTTTAATTACTACTTGCTTCTTTATATAATTCAAATGCTCTAATTTCATTTTTTTCAGTTTCTATTCCATTTTAATAACAATATCCAAGATTACTGGTTTAATTTCATGATGACGTCATTATACTTGTAAATGAAATTACTGCGGTAACTGCGGTACCATGTTGATTGGCTGTAACAGGTAATACTAAATCACGCTGTGCGTTTGTACGACTATCATTGAAAAAAAAATATATATATAATAGGCACACAAATAAAACTTTAATAATTTTTACTTTTCATTTTTTTCTAACTTTACTGTTAACTTATCATTATTCAATTCGTTCAGTAACGTCCAATAATATCAAAATGCAAGATACCGAACATACAAATGAATGGGTTAATTTGATTGAAGAAGTTGTGGATAAAGAGCATTTTAAGTCATATGAATACAAACAATTTAATAATATTCAACATATTGGTACTGGAGAATTTGGAAACGTATATCATGCAAATTGGAAAAATTCAGGAGAGCAATTTGCGTTAAAATCTTTTTTTAGTCTTAATAAAATCACTGTGAAAGAAATCGTTCGTGAGGTAATTTAATATGAAATAATTTTTTTCGTCTATGATTTTGTCTAATATACTAATTTAAAAAATATTATTTAGTTAAAAATTCAACATGAAGTTAATTTTCATGATAACTTTATTCGTTGCTATGGAATAACAAAACTCGAGTCAGGTATTATTAAAGTTATCTTAATAAATATAATATTATTGTAAATCGCAAAATTCAAAGAATTGGACTTAATAAACTTAATAAGTATTTTATTCGTTAGATAATCATAATGATTATTGGTTAGTAATGGAATACGCCAACGGTGGTAGCCTTAGAAATTATTTGAAGGAAAATTTTAACAAGCTTACTTGGAATGACAAATATAATATAGCATACCAGTTATCTTGTGCTGTATCATGCTTATATAACGAAGGAATATTGCATAATGATCTGGTAATTCACTTAATATTATTTGACCATTAATATGAATATATTTGTATTACTTATTTGAATATACATGTTTCTTAAATAGCGCTCCTGTAATATACTTGTCCGTGATGATACAATCAAATTAGCAGATTTTGGATTATCTAAAAGAATTGGAGCATCATCCAATTTTCAATCTAAATTATTTGAAGTGGTTCCTTATGTTGATCCAAAAAGTTTTAGTAGACTGAGGAATAACAACCAATCAACACAAGTATACTCATTAAATGAAAAAAGTGATATTTACAGTTTAGGCGTATTATTATGGGAGATTTCTAGTGGACAACCTCCTTTTTATGTTGAAGGTAAACAATATGATATTGGTTTAGCTTTGGAAATTTCACAAGGTCTTAGAGAAACTATTGTTACTGATACTCCTGATGAGTATGTTAAAATTTATACCAGTGAGTTATATTTTAAATTTTAAAATTCTGTAAATTTAATATTATCTTAATTTTTAATTACATATGGTTTACAGAATGTTGGGATGGTGAGCCTGGTAATCGTCCAACAATATATCAAGTAGTTGATTGGCTAAATGACATAATTACAAAAACAGATGCAATAGTAGAAAATCATCAAATGTCAAATGAGCAGGTACTTAATGAGACTTTAAGTACTAATAATTCAGAATTACAAGAAGATTTATCTCAACTTACTCAAAATTTTGATAAAATAAATATAAAAGAAATTGATCCTATGGCAATATTAAGCAAACAAGAAAATCATTTAATGGAAAAAGATTTTAACATGATAGCTGATGAAATGAATGATTTTATTACTGAATTAAATATTAAAGGAATCGAACAGAAATCAAAAAAGCAAGTTATTGAATATTTTTATAATCATAATATAAATTCACAAGAATTTTATAATTGGTTATTAAATAATCAAAATGCTTCAGATTCTATTTTTATTCTTGGATATTTTAATTATTATGGAATTATAGCAAATAAAAATAAAGAGAAAGCATTTAATTTATTTATTGATGAATTAGAAAAAAATAACATATTGGCACAACATTTTATTGGACATTGTTATTTTTATGGACATGGAACTATGAAAAATAATAAATTAGCTATTGAATATTATGAAAAAGTGGCTAACAAAAATTTGTCATATGGTCAATTAAATCTTGGTTATTGCTATAGAAATGGAATAGGTATTAAAAAAGATTTGGAAAAGGCTTTTTATTGGTATGAAAAAGCTGCAAATAATGGAAATGTGATAGCAACGTATAATCTTGGTAATTGTTATGGAGATGGGTTTGGTGTTAAAAAAGATCATAATAAAGCTTTTGAACTATATAAGCAATCAGCTAAAGTAGGGCATTTAAGTGGAATAATGATGTTGGGATATTGTTATGATAAAGGTATCGGAACTATAATTGATAAACAAAAAGCATTTGAATTGTATCAAAATGCTGCAAATTTAGAACATAATATAGCACAATATAATCTTGCATTAATGTATGAAGATGGAGATGGAATTGCAAAAGATACAGATAAAGCAATTTATTGGTATAAAAAAGCTGCTGAACAAGGAGATCAGGATGCACAAGATAAACTAGAGATACTTCAAAATAATCAATAGTAATTTATGATAATTTTCCTTTAGTTATTAAATTATAAAACTTTAAATTATTTATTCACAGTAATTAAAAAAAAAATTTATACAGTTGTAAAGAAAATACAAATAAATAAATTGCTATATTATTTAAACATTCTTATAAACTTTAAACATAATTTGTGTCTGTTTTAAAATCTTACATTTTAATTTGGAATGTCATTTAACATCAAAAATTTAAAAGTGTAGAAATTTAATGCTACATTTTTCTATTTTTAAAAATAGATTATAGGACAAAGCTTATTTGTAAAAAAAGATAATAAATAAATGAAAAATAAATCTAAAAAGAATATTACTAATCAGTTTTTGATTTGATATAAAATGATTTTTGAAAAAAAGGATAAATAAATAAATAAATATATTTAAATGAGTAATACAAATACATTATTATTAATGATCAAATAATGTTAAATGAATTACCAAGTAACGATGCACTATTTCTTCATTATGTAAGCATGATACGGAACAAGATAACTGGTATGCCATATTATATTTATCATTCAATTTCGCGATTAAAAGAATATCATATTTATTAAGTAACTTGATAATACCTGACTCAGGTTCTGTTACTCTGTAGCAATATCATGAAAATCAACTTCTTGTTGAATTTTTAACTAAATAAAAAACAAGTATATTGAACAAAATCATAAATGAAAAAAAAAATGTATTTTATATTTTATTACCTCACAAATAACCTCTTTAAGATTAAAAAAATTTTTAACGTAAATTTTTTTTCTGAATCCTTCCAATTTGCACGAAATACTTTTCCAAAGTTTCCGGTACCAACATGTTGAATATTATTAAATTGTTTATATTCGTAAAATTTAAAATATTTTTTATCAGAATCTACTTCTTCAATCCATTTAATCCATTCGTTTGCATTTTCAGTATCTTGCATTTTGAATGTATTGAAAGAAAAAATAAATAGTAAAAATTATTATTTTGAAATTTTACCAAACAAAAGTCGATTTCAATCATGGTATCACAGTAATTTTCATTCATATAATGACGTAATCATGAAATTTATAGTGACAGAGAAATACATTATATCAATACATTGGATGAGACGGTTGATACTTGCGGTACTTTAAACCCTTAATTTTGGCGAAATTCAACCCAAATGATGGGACAGAATTTAGATCAGTTGAGATTTGGAATGGAAGAATATGAAGTTTTCAGAGAAAAAATAGAAATGGATTTTTTTTTATAAAAATGATAGCTAAAATTAGACTGCCTTTTAATAATTTGATTATTTTTAACCAAATAAATCAAATAAATATAAATTTATGAACCTTATATAAATCTGTCACTTTATTATTATAATCATAGAATTAAATAATAATTAATATTTTTATTCTATAAATAAATCGTTGTGTAAAATATTAAATAGAAATTTAAGTGTAAATTTATAATCATTACTATCTTATTTTATTTTTATTTTTTTTGATGCTTCAGGCAATCGAACTTAGTTGAAACATAATTTCCGCAAACGAACTTTCAATTTAGATATTTTTTTAATTTAAGTCAATTCTCAAATACTGTACCGTACACAAATTTGATTTAACTCGAATCTCGTACTAACTAACGAAGTCTTGTACCACATACGAGGAACCACCAAAAAAATCATTATAATTTACTACTTATCTATATTTTAGAAAATAATTTATTTATACAAATTTTTATGTATTATATGAACGGGTGATCAACAATATCAAGATAAAGATATATAAAAAACCAACCATTTTTAAACGTAAAAAACAATATATTATTAAAATAAAACATTAAGAAACATCAACGAATAATTCCCACAGATTCAAATCGCGTCTCAGACGTTAATTTTTTTTGTAACCTCGCACTGACACGTGAAAGTGACTGTTGATCATGTTGATCAGCTAAATCTCATGAGTCATCTCTCACTCTGACTAACAAATTTATAAGCCTTAGTTTGGTTATGACATAATTTTTTGCACTTTGACTAACAAATTTATAAAACTCACGTTACTATTCTTTCTCCTCCCTCTTGTCATTTCTAGCGAAGTAATCAAACATATTTAATTTTTTTTATTTCTATTTCGCAGTATTTTACTCCTTTCCTTAATAAAATTTTTTCATTTTATTTTAACTTTTTTTGTTTTTATTTTGTTTTGCTGTGTTAATACATCCTCCTGTTCCTCTCTCATACACTTCGGAGGGACTGTTCGGTTGTATGGGTTCCTGAAGTAATAACCATTATTAAAAGAAATGAAATTATAAGGAGGTGAAACTGAAACACCTTTGATTTACACAGTTAACTTGTAATTTTGGTTTGAATACTCTGTCATTGTGGTAAGTATCATTTTATGTTCTTACAAGAGAAAGGAATTCATGTGTACATGGCTCTTTTTGCTAGGTGAAATTATATTTCGCTAATGACCAGCTGTAGCCTGAGAGAAACTGAGGTTCTATAGTTTGTTTTAGTGATGAGCAATGTGGCAAGTGTTTAATAGTTATTTTTATATATATATTTTACTATAGATTTCATTCATTTATTTGGTTAGCACTGGTCGGAATAGTCCATTTCGGCAAAATTTTAAATTGCCGAATGTTGGACGAAATTTGGTCTGACCTTAGCCGATCAGTACCAAAAAAATCGGCAACTAATTTTATAGGCGATTTGCACCGTAACGCCTGCCACTTGCCAACAAATCGATCAGTAAAAATTGGTAACAAATCGGTAAAATCAAATTGACGATTGTTAATATAAATCAACCTAATTATTACCGATTTTGTATATTTAGCACAATTTATTAATTAAATTTTATTAATTTGCTTTATATATATATTAAAATTACATATTAAATCTATCTATCTAATCTACTATCGTCCACCATTCACTACATGCACCCGCCACATTACCCACTATCCACCACAATACCCATTCAACAAAAATCCAAAGAAAATCTAAAATAAAAAATAAAGAATTGGTTAGTATACCGATTCTTTAATAAAAAAATAAGTTTCGAAAATTTTTTTAAAAACTTTACTACAAAAATAAAAAAAAAACGTTTTTTATTGTTAAAAAACGTTTTTTTTAAGTTTTGAAAACCATTTTGAAACTTTACCTGGGAAACGGTATCCACGCCGGAACTGATTCCCTACAAAAAAAAATAAAAAAAACGTTAATATTTAACGTTTTTTTATTAAAGTTTCGAAAATTTTCGAAACTTATCTTTGGGATTCGGTATCCATCTTGGAGCCGATTCCCTATAATATAATAAAAAAACGTTAATTAACGTTTTTTTTAATAGTTTCGAAAAAAAAATTTCGAAACTGACCTATGGGATTCGGTATCCATCTTGGAGCCGATTCCCTATAATAGAATAAAAAACAACATTAAAAAAAAAGTTTTTTTAAATAGTTTTGAAAAAGAATTTTTCGAAACTAACCTATAGGATTCGATAGCCGATTCCCTACTAAAGAAACAATAAAAAAAACGTTAATTAACGTTTTTTTTTAATAGTTTAATAGTTTTGAAAAAAATTATTCGAAACTAACCTATGGGAATAAAATAAATAAAAAAAAAAGAAAAGTTTTGAAAACTTTCTTTTTGGGATCCGGTTCCAACTTCGGAACCGTTTCCCTACAAAAACAATAAAAAAAACGTTAAAATAAACGTTTTTTTATTAAAGTTTCGAAAAACAACTTCGAAACTTATCTTTTGGGATCCGATTTCCAACCTCGGAAACGTTTCCCTATAATAAAATGAAAAAAAAGAAAGTTTCAAATCGAAACTTACTTTTTGGGATTCGGTATCCACGCCGGAACCGATTCCCTACAAAAAAATATAATAAAAAACGTTAAAAATTAACGTTTTTTTATTAAAGTTTCGAAAAATTCGAAACTTATCTTTGGGATTCGGTATCCACGCTGGAACCGATTCCCTACAAAAAAATATAATAAAAAAACGTTAATAAACATTTTTTTTAAATAGTTTCAAATTTTTTTTTCGAAACTAACCTTTGGGATTCGGTATCCACACCGGAACCGATATCCCTACAAAAAAAATAAAAAAAAAATGTTAAAATTAACGTTTTTTTGTTAAAGTTTCGAAATTTTTCAAAACTTGCCTTTGGGATTTGGTATCCACGCCGGAACCGATATCCCTATAATTAAATATAAAAAAACGTTTCATTAAAAACGTTTTATTAAAAAAGTTTCGAAACTTTAGTTTTGAAACTTACCTGGAATATCGGCGTCCACGTTGGAGCCGATTTCCTATACAAAAAAACAAAAAAAAACATTTTTAATATTAAAAAACGTTTTTTTTTTATAAAGTTTCGAATTTTTTTTCGAAACTTATCTGGAACATCGGTATCCATGCCGGAGCCGATTTCCCTGCAAAAAAAAATAATAAAAAATAATAATAAAAACGTTACTTTAAACGTTTTTTTTATTAAGTTTCGTAAAGTTTCGAAAATTCGAAACTTTACCTGCAGGATTCTGGTATCTGAATTGGAGCCGATTTCCCTGCAAAAAAATTAATAAAAATAATAAAAAAACGTTAAATTAAACGTTTTTTATTAATTTTTGTCAAAAAGTTTCGAAAATTCGAAACTTTACGGTATCCCTACAATAATATTAAAAAAAAAATGTTAAAAAACGTTTTTTTCAAAGAAGTTTCGAAAATGAAACT